AAAAGAGTAGATCTCCAGAGCCCTCCTTTCCACTTGTAGATAGCATTATACTAACTACCCTCTTCTAAGAGATAAGAAAACTTTTCTCTGCTTTTAGCAAGAGACACCATGAACAAAACAAAACAAAACAAAAAAAGAGGGAAAAAATCCCTCAAGTGTAAATAATGCAGGTAAAAAACGGACATTTAAATCTCTCTCCCTGTCTCATAACATAAAAGAAAATATTGCAACCACAAATCAAGACTAGGCTACTATACAAAAAAAAAAAAAAAAAAGGAGAATCAGAGAATAAGAACTCAAAATGGAGGCTCTAATTAGCCACTCACTACTTTAAACTAAGACACCAAAAAAGTGTACCCTTATTGTAAACAGGCACTGTAAGTAACACAACCTTTGATAGACTTATATAGTCAAGCTTTTCGTCATCTGGATGGTCCAAGAAATCTCATACCTGGAACTCAGTTTAAGAAGATCCCAGACTGGAAATGCCTTCAGTTACCTGACAAAAGAAAACAAAAGTCCCTTCTAGGGGACGATACTCATCATTCTGGACTTCAAATTATTCTTACAAATGAGGTTTCTAAACAATGTCTAGCACACAATGTGATGTGCCATAGCCAGACACACAAAGAAATAAGACCCCATGAGTGAAAATAAGCAGAAAAACAGGAGATAGAAACATACCCACAAATACTTGATACTCTACCCTTATCATAAACGAGTAGTGGAGGTATAAGAAGACTACAAAGCATACGTGCTTACTTTATTCAATAAAAAATAAAGGACCAAGCTTAAATATTTCAGCAGGCACTATAAGCTATGAAAAGTGGCACAGCACATTAAAAAAGAACCAAATATAAAATCAAGAACAGAAGAACATAATAAATTTGGAAAAAATTTCTATGGGATTTATCATTTGATTAGACAATATTAAAGAAAAAATTAGTAAACTAGAAGAAAGATTTGAAGAAACTAAACAGTGTGAAGCACTGAAAGACAAAGGGATGAAAAATATGGAGGAAATGGTAAGAGATTTTGAGAGTAAAATGATAAAGTATAACATCTGAGAAGTAGAATATAGAGAACATGGCAGAGAAAATATTTGAAGAAATAAGATCTAAGATTTTCTAGAACTGATAAAAGATAGCAGCCCACAATCAAGAAGCTTCAAAAATCTAAAACAGGGTAAATAAAAAGAAATCCATATCTGGAGACACTGTAGTAAAACTTTATAAAAATTAACACCAATAGGCAAAATTTTTAGAGTCATAGGGAAAGGGACAGATTATTTTCAGAATAGCAATGTATCCTATGACCAGCAACTCTGCACGCCTGAATAAGTTTTCCAATGTATATCCTCAATAAGCAGATCTCTAAAATAGACCTAAATACCACCTGTGAGGCCATTCCATTGTTGGATAGGTCTAAATGTTAAAAAGTGCTTTCTTTTGCTAAGCCATTATCTGACAACTTGTGCCCAATGGTGTACTGGTAAATGATACATTTTTAGTATTTGCTGGTTTCTGTGGCAGAAGTACTCTCACCATGGCTTGCTTCAAGCAACCAATGGGACGTCACTGAATGCAGAGCTGAGAAGAGATGCTTGTCATCAGCTCTCCCAGGCCAGTAGGAGCCAGTACTGGAACATTCTTGATCGTACTCCTGATTGTACTCCTGATTATGTCTTTTCTTGTCAAGGTTAAATATGCCTAATTCTTTAGTTATTTCCCTGATGTAGTCAATTATCTGTGGAATATTCATTCATTCAATGGATATTTATTAAGAACTTACTATTTGCTGGGAAAGGTTCTAGGAACTAAGTATACATCAGTGAACCAAAAAAATGTCTTCATGGAGCTTATGTTATAGTGAGGAGAAAAAGATGAACAAACAAGTAAACATGCAATCTGTCAAATGTTGCTAAATGACATGGAGAAAAATATATGGGAATATGGTAAGGGGAATTGCTATTTTATAAGGGGGAAGACCTCACGGATAAAAGACCATCATATATTTCTTCTCTACTCTCACTCTTTGCCATAATACTACTGTTAATTAGAGAGGAAAACAGGTGGCAGGAAAAAAGTTGAATTCATGAAAACTTTAAGACAAGATTACATAGAGTATGCTGAGACTGCAAATCAAGTGTTCAAAAGAACTGAGTCAGAAGATCCTTCTTACAGACATCCATGTGACTCACTCAATCACCTTTCAGTCTTTGTTTAAATGTCACTTTCCCACTGAAGCCCATTTAGAATCACAACACTCTTCCCCACGCACACTCCCCTCCACAACACACATTCTCTATCTTGATCCTACCCTTGGTTTCCATAGACCTTAATAAATTTCTAACATTTAATATAATTTTTACTTTTTTATTGTCTATTGTTTACCTCCTCCACTAGAATGTAATCTCAACTTAACAGGAATTATTTTTGTCTGTTTTGTGCACTGAAATATCCCACACAACTAGAACAGTGATTGGCACATAGTATTACTTGATAAGTATGTGCTGAATTTGTTTTTTTAAGTATTATTTAGGGTTGGGAGAGACTTGAGCACATTTATGTGCTGACCTTGACTATTTCTAGGAAGATACAATGATTTCTTCAAACAATGAAGTGGAGTATTATATGTTTCTTGAGTAACATGTCCTATGAAATGGCAGCTCTATGTTTTGATTTGCTTGTTTCTTTTACTATGCTAGCAATTCTCCCTAATGTTTAACAGGTTTTCTAACAATGTCTTCCTCATTAGATTCTTTTTTTTTTTTTGGCTGATCTGTCTTAACTAAGACATTCTTTTTGCCAGTGAAATGTAATATTTTCTAATTCTTGTTTTTTCCCTCCTTTCAAAATGATATTCTGTGTCATTTTCATTCTCTGAGATTTCTAAACTTCTATTCAGATTAGAAAAGGAAGGCTCCTTTGAATCTAACTCCAAACTAACCCATACTATAATTTTTCTTTATCCTAAAGTAAGCTTTTGAGATTAGCTTATTTTAATTTAAAATAGCAAATTTTAAAATTTGCTGTTTACCAAATACAAATATGTCCTTAATGTATTAAGCTATTTCAATTTATTTTTTAAGTTTTCAGTATATATATTTTCATTTTGTAATACATGCTCTAAGTGGCCTACAATGAGATCTAATTAAAAAATAGGACAAAAAAATGGCTGTTGTGTGTACTGGTACATTGGTCATTTAAGAATGATCCTCTGAAACTAGCAGTTTTTGCAGGCATTCTCCAATAACCGCCAGATTTAAATCAGTGACTTTAAAGTAAAATCTAAAAACAATCAAAACAAAACAAAAAAAATTGAGGATTTTCAATAGCCACAAAGATCACTATCAGAAAGAAAAAAAAAAAGATTAGAGGCCCAAAGAAATTTTGGGGAGTTGAATCTAGAAAAGTGATGGAGTTGATCAAATTCATACTTTGTTGGTGTTGTCATTGTTATAGTTGGTTTGTGTTAATCCTGATTGAGACTATGATCTTTATGACTTTAGTTTTATCTAGGTCTTTTGAGGTCCTTGAGAAATATTTGTTTTGGTGACGTAAATTTGACTTAATACAATTCCTTCTTTTCTTTCTCCTGATAAATCTTTATCAAATATTAAACTGTAAAAGGAAATTAACCTAAAGGCAAACCTGTTTTTGCAAGTAAATCTCCTTGGCAGTTCTCTTTCGGTACTTTTCCTGTTGTGTAGGTGCAGCTAATTCAATATACTATTTCAGTAAATGGAATTGACTGGACCTCCGATTGCCAACAACACATCCATTAGTGTACAAACAGAGTGGATAATGCAAACTACATAAGCTACAGCTGCTCCTTCTGAAAGGCAATTTGGGCAGTATTTTTCTCTTAGACTAGCCAATACTCAATCCAGAAGTAGACAAGTGAGTGCCCTAGAGAACGTTTCAATAAGGAACATAAAATTAGGCATAGTGGATTTATAGTGGATTCTGATTATTTAGAATTACAGAATTTAAGGAGTGAAATGAAAGCGGAGGGGACACAAGGGGAAAAAAATAAATCTGCTGTCTTGGGTTTCTCGGTTCCAACCTTTCCTACTTCTACAGAAAAACCCAATTTTAGCCATTAATATATAAATATGTTCTAGTACCTCTCATACATGAAAACAGAAACTTCCATTACGCTTTACCTGCCTTTCAAACCATTATCTGATTCCTTTTATCTTCACCAGACATCTTAAAGAGTTGTCTCCTCTCACTTTCTTTGCATCTTCCCTTAACGTCTCAGAAACTGGAATATTGCATCTAACTACACTGCTCTTCTCAAACTGTTGTCGTGAGGACCATAGACAATCTCTACTATGCCAAACTCAGTGGGCACACTTTTCAAACTTCATTTTGTTCAATCTCTTTGTGACATTTGGAAGTACTGACTACTTAATCTGTTTTGAAATTCTATCTCCCTTTGTTTTCTGGGATGCTAATACCTCTCCTACTTCACGGCCTATTATTTGTCAGTTTGTTGGCACCTAATTCTCCATCTACCCTTAATGCCCATGTCTCAAGGTTTCTCCTTGCACTGACTGTCTCTCTCTTCTCTCTTTGAAGTTGCAGGTTGAATGATTTCATTCATTTCCATGGCTCAAGCAATCATTGATAATGCTGACATACACATTTCCAGCAGTTCCTGATATTTTGATGGGGCCATTTTGATTCAGCCTTCAGAAGAAACCTTTTTATTTTCACTCTTGAAATGTTTGAAACTGGTAGTCACATCCTATCCCTGGGCTTCATCCCATGAAATTAAATATGTTTCCTTGTTGAACTCAAATCAGTCATATAATGAATGCTTAAACATTACAGTTTCTAGAAAACAACAGAATGCCCAAATCCTTTTATGAAGCTAAGAAAATTGGACAAATATGGCCCTGGCTCAGTCGAATATAATATGAAGAACAAACACTCCAATTATGAATATAATTGCAAACTTCTAAGTAAAATATTAACAACTTGAATTAAGCATTATGGTAAATTTGTGGTTTATTCAGGAATGCAACAACAAAAAAACATTACCATGTAAATAGATGCTAGGCAGTCATTTGACAAAACTTAAAATTCATCCTCAAGCTCAGGCTTGAAAATCAAACATATCTGATTTAGAATTATAGGTTATTCACTTATAGCTATCTTTCCATTGGATGTAAATTAACCTATTCTGGAGGCTAGTTCCACTAATTTTTAAAATTAGTCTAGACTGCTTTAATCCTCTGATTTGAAATACATCTCAAAATTTCCTTTACATAATATTCTTTATCCTTGAAATTACATGTTTAACATCTGTTTTCTCCACCAGACTGAAACCACCTGAAGACATGCCTTGCTATTCACCATGTGTAGCTTAATATGTGTGAGTATGCATGACCAATTATAGAATTTGTGGGATCCAATGCAAAGTGAAAATGAGAGTCTCCTTGTCCAAAAATAATTAAGAATTTCAAGACAGTGACTGCAGAGCATTAAATCAAACCCAGAGCCCTTTCTAAGCACAGGCCCCATGTGTTCTATACAGAACACATGCCCATGAAGAAGTCCTTCGTGTGTGTGTGTGTGTGTGTGTGTGTGTGTGTGTGTGTTTGAAATATGTTGAATATTATGCCTGGAAAATTAAGTTACAGGAACTTCAGAAAATATCTATAGACAGAATGATATCTAGCATTCAGATCTCAGACTACAAAGAATGGTTGTATTAAGTTGGGTAAAAATACTACAGATAATTATCAAGAAAAGATTTTTAGGTTACCCATAATAAACTATTTAGATTGAAGATTGTAGAACATTTAAAAAGACATTAGTTAATCTTTAACAATTCTCTCTTTAAGTTGATATTCATATTGCTTTGTTTCCATTTTTTTCAGTACATTGTACTAATCATTCTGAAAATGTCTTCCTTCTTAATATTTATTGGTTATAATTCATAAACTATATACTACTTTGTTTACATATTGGCTTTCCTGCACAATTCTTGTGTCTACGAGTGAACATAAAGGTAACCACTCCATTTCTCTATTATAAAACATTGGCATATAAAAATTCATAAAACATTTCTTTTTTCCCTATCTATCTGTCTTATGAAAAATAATGTTCAGTTTATCAAAATAGCAAACACGCATTTAAGACTACATTTGGATTTTTTTTCAAATGGTATTAATTCTGTCATAGAAGAAAATAACTTGATGTAGTTAGAATGTGCCAATTTTCATATAACAATAAAAATGCCAAACGCTTTACGAATATTGTCTTCAGAGTGATTCTTCACGTTTGGGGTCAGAGTCCAGTGTGGAATTTACATCTTCTCTCCTGGAGCTCTGAATAATTTCCAATCATGCTCCCCAAAAGTTCAGTTATGCACAAGCCCTTGTTCAACCAGGTTTTATGATGATTGCATGAAAAAGGAAGATGGATTTCCTGTTGAGCAAGTTATTGGTGGATGCTCTTTTATCTGTCCCTGAAGTGTTAAAACAATTTTAAAAACCTGCAGGCTGTGTGCAATTACATACCTCAATGTTGCTGTCAGGGATTTTAAATAAATCAATAGCCAAGCTAGTTGTGTTTAGTTACAGCATTCATTTTTACCAGTTACTCTGGCCTCCTGTTTCTCTGCTCCCCACCTCCAGGCTAGGTTCCAGTCAGATGGAAATACTTGGCTTTCCCCACCACATTCTGCCTCCTGTGCTCATTTGTTTCCCTTGTTCTCTTCCCCTTTCCTCCTATTCCCCTCCTGCCTTCACATACTTTCCCTTCCACACATGTTCTCGCTCATGCATCTCACTCAGTTGTCCCCTCTCATTCCGTTACTTTCTGCATGGCTGTGTGCTAGATGTTGTTCTAAGTGGAAGTCAGCTTGGCTGAACGCAGGGAGGACAAAGGCCATGGGTACCAGAGGGAGTCACAGAGGACAGTGGGGCCCAGATCACACAGGGCCTTGAAAGCCCAGTGTGCAGTGGGAAGTGGCCAGAGAGTGGTCACAGAGGGTGGCAAATGTAAATAAATACGCTGCTGCTATGAAGAGAATGAAAGGGTTGTGGGCAAGAGTGAAAGCTGGAAGATCCCCTAGACAGCAGGGTTTTAATGGTTTACCCTTAGGCAATTCACAGAATAGATTCGGGATTTATTTTAGAGGTACAGTTGACAGGACTTGCCTGTGGGTTGGATGTGAGAAGTGAGACTAAAAGAGAAATAGGAATCCAAGTTTCAGGCTTAAGCAACACCGCCTCACTCTCTATTTCATTGTTTTTCTCCCTTCTTTCTTTTCCTCTTTTCTTCATTCACACTATAGCAGCTGGAATGTTCACATGGCCAAGTTAATTGACCTGCTCGGGTCTCAATTCAGAATTCACAAACTCCAGAAATTTTCCCTGAGGTCCCCATACTGGGGCAAAGGCACATTCACATGATATGTGACCCTGTCTCTCTCCTGGCATCAATGTCTACATTGTTCACAGGACTTCTAACACAGGGGTCCAAGTGCGGACTCTAGAGCTGGTTTACAGTAGGTTTGTGTCCCAACCCTGTTACTAACCAGCAGAGTGAATCTGGCAGATACTTAAGGAAGTCTCAGTTCCTACGTCTGTGAAGCGCAGATAACAAAACTGTCTACCACACAGAAAATTTTGCTTGAGATGACATACATAAAAGACTTAGCACAATACTGGTACAGAGCAAATGCTAGATAAATGATAGCCATAACACTATTATCACTGTGATTACTTTACATTACCCACCTTCATTTAAGCAGGATTTCTGCAGAATATCAGAAATCAAATGAAAACAGAAAATACCTAAATAATTCAGACCTAGAAAAAAAAATTAACCCTTCTGTAACAGACAGTCAAGATAGATAAGTTGATTTATTAGCCAATTCAGATAAATGCACACGAGGCAGTCATTGTTACCATCTATTGTCAGTCTCCACTTTCTCCACCTAATTTGGGCTTTGATTATCAGGTCCAAAGATAGCACTTACCAGATTAGGTGGACACACCGAGTTATTTTTCTTTGAGGTCTCACCTGGGCAGGTGCATGTACAAAAGACAGAGAGGAAGGAGACTAGAGAGGTTAGAGAGGCTGAGGGCGTGGCCCGTGGCCCTCTTAATCATTCTTTACTTCCTTTTTTTTTTTTTAAACAAGACGACTGACTTGGCGTCGTCCACCACCACATCCGCGGCAAGAGCTGCGACGCCTCCTCCCTGGCGTCCGCTTGCAATAGCCCAGTTTTCGCCCTACACATCTGTGGCTTCTGTGGACACATTAGCAACCGATGCTTTTAGATCCTAGTCGCCCGCCTTTGCCAAGGCGGTTTAGAGGTCATCTGGAAAGTCTTTGCCTCGAATCGCCCCGATTCAGGCTAACTCATTCCTTCTGCGGTGCTTTGGGACTCCGCGCCCTCCTCTGGTCCTGGTCCAGGTGCACAGGAAGCGCTAGGGGAGGACGCAGGTGACCAGGAGAAGGAGGTGTGCGGGGAGGTGAAGGTGCCCCAGTGATTAACTCAGAGATCGAACCTGCAGACCAAGCGCAAAGTAGAAACTGAAAGTACACTGTCGGCTGATCCTACGGAAGTTATGGGAAAGGCAAAGCGCAGAGCCGGACCGTGGTGTGTGACGCCCCCCCTGGGATGGATGAAACAGCAGGCGCGGCGTGGGTAGGAGGAACCAGCTGCAGAGACTGCCCTAGCCGGCACGGACTCCCGGCAACTCCGCGGAAGACCAGGGTCCTGGGAGTGACTATGGGCGGTGAGAGCTTGCTCCTGCTGCAGTTGCGGTCATCATGACCACGCCCGCCTCCCGCAGACCATGTTCCATGGTAAGCGCTCCTCTCCCGGGCGCATAAATTCGCTCGCGCGGCACGCCAGGGTACTCTGGGACATGCTGCGGGGCCCCACGCCCAGGCGCGTCCGGGAAGAGCCCGGCGTTGCACTTTGGATCTGCGGAGAGCCCTGGCTGCTCTGCCCTTGGGCAGCCGGCAGCCTCACCCGAGTACTCTGGCCCATCACCACTTGCACCTGGGGCTGCTGAGCCTGGCGGGCTGCGTGGGAGAAGCGGTCCCCGACGCCTGCTCTCTGTCCCGAGACCGGGCGCTGCAGCCTCCGAGCCGCTCAGCGGTGGCAGCCTGCGCCCAGATCCCAATGCTCTCCGTCAGTCTCCCCTCGCCAGCGCTGCCCGCTGTCAACCCGGCGCCCAACCCACCCTCCCCGGGCTCCTGGTCGCGCCACGGTACTCACAGGTGCCCCGGGATCGGCGAGGATCTGGGCTCTTGCAGCTCCAACCCCTTAGAGAAGCGAAAGCGAAGCTCCCACGGGACACGCTTTTAAACCTCAAGGGGACAGGTCTCTGGAAAACCCCGTTTTTCCTCATTGAGGCTGGGAGTTTCCAACTGGGGCTGTACCTTGTGTCTTTTGCTGGGAACCCAAGTGCTCGGGCTGGCACAAGGCCACTTTCGGGTTTTGGTTTCTTTCCTATATGGGTACTCATGGACGGAGGCAGGATTAACAGGCATAATTCTAAATTCTAGACCCTTGCCGAGATTTAGTCTATTTTATCTGTGCGAAATACGGACTTAAAATGGACAAGGGCAGAGATGAGGCGAGCTGGATTCCCGTTGGCAGCCATATGGCCAAGGTAACGGGTCCAAAAGCTGACGGGAAGAAAAAAGGGGGAAAAGAGATGTGAGTGGAGAGGATTTGCTGAGGGAAATTCTACTTTTTTATAGTAAATACTTCCTTAAGCAAAAGGAGACGGGTGCGGGAGGGTGCCAGAATGGGGAGCAGATTGTTCTTGTGTTTGATGCCTGGTCTGTGCCCTTTCCTGGCGGCACCGTTAGATCAAGAGACCTATCCCTACTCACAGGTATTAAAGCATCAAAAATTGACATAGTCAAGAAGTACCTGATCAGTAGCAAAGTAAAGGGGGGTGGGGAGCGGGTTTAGCGTATAGAAGATTTGTAATGCGCGTCCTCCAGAACTTTAATATAGAATTAGAAATTAGGTATATTCCTGTTTTCCTTACAATGCCCATGGATCTCCTGCAATTGCTTTTTTCTGAACCACTCCCAGATCTAATCTTTCCATCACCTCTGATCTGGAGTGGAGAGGTAAAACAAGAAAAGGAAGCTAAGGTGCCCATTACTAACAAGGAACCTCTATTTCCTGAAGTATATCTATACCAATCGTGCATCATAAGTTATCAGCAACCAAAATATTAGAATTCTAAACTCCTAATAATAATAATTATGAGTGACTTTGATAATGATTTTTTTCCAGTAGAGTTCACTAGAAGCTTAAGGATAGGGTTACCTTTTTTTTTTTTTTAACATCTTTAATGGGGTATAATTGCTTTACAATGGTGTCTTAGTTTCTGCTTTATAACAAAGTGAATCAGTTACACATATACATATGTTCCCATATCTCTTCCCTCTTGCGTCTCCCTCCCTCCCACCCTCCCTATCCCACCCCTCCAGGCGGTCACAAAGCACCGAGCCAATATCCCTGTGCCATGCGGCTGCTTCCCACTAGCTATCTACCTTACGTTTGTTAGTGTATATATGTCCATGCCTCTCTCTCGCCCTGTCACAGTTCACCCTTCCCCCTCCCCATATCCTCAAGTCCATTCTCCAGTAGGTCTGTGTCTTTATTCCTGTCTTACCCCTAGGTTCTTCATGACATTTTTTTCTCTTAAATTCCATATATATGTGTTAGCATACGGTATTTGTCTTTCTCTTTCTGACTTACTTCACTCTGTTTGACAGACTCTATGTCTATCCACCTCATTACAAATAGCTCAATTTCATTTCTTTTCATGGCTGAGTAATATTCCATTGTATATATGTGCCACATCTTCTTTATCCATTCATCCGATGATGGGCACTTAGGTTGTTTCCATCTCCGGGCTATTGTAAATAGAGCTGTAATGAACATTTTGCTACATGACTCTTTTTGAATTTTGGTTTTCTCAGGGTATATGCCCAGTAGTGGGATTGCTGGGTCATATGATAGTTCTATTTGTAGTTTTTTAAGGAACCTCCATACTGTTCTCCATAGTGGCTGTACCAATTCACATTCCCACCAGCAGTGCAAGAGTATTCCCTTTTCTCCACACCCTCTCCAGCATTTATTGTTTCTAGATTTTTTGATGATGGCCATTCTGACTGGTGTGAGATGATATCTCACTGTAGTTTTGATTTGCATTTCTCTAATGATTAGTGATGTTCAGCATTCTTTCATGTGTTTGTTGGCAGACTGTATATATTCTTTAGAGAAATGTCTGTTTAGGTCTTCTGCCCATTTTTGGATTGGGTTGTTTGTTTTTTTGTTATTGAGCTGCATGAGCTGCTTGTAAATTTTGGAGATTAATCCTTTGTCAGTTGCTTCATGTGCAAATATTTTCTCCCATTTTGAGGGTTGTCTTTTGGTCTTGTTTATGGTTTCCTTGGCTGTGCAAAAGCTTTGAAGTTTCATTAGGTCCCATTTGTTTATTTTTGTTTTTATTTCCATTTCTCTGGGAGGTGGGTCAAAAAGGATCTTGCTGTGATTTATGTCATAGAGTGTTCTGCCTATGTTTTCCTCTAAGAGTTTGATAGTTTCTGGACTTACATTTAGGTCTTTAATCCATTTTGAGCTTATTTTTGTGTATGGTGTTAGGGAGTGATCTAATCTCATACTTTTACATGTACCTGTCCAGTTTTCCCAGCACCACTTATGAAGAGGCTGTCCTTTCTCCACTGTACATTCTTGCCTCCTTTATCAAAGATAAGGTGACTATATGTGCGTGGGTTTATCTCTGGGCTTTCTATCCTGTTCCATTGATCTATATTTCTGTTTTTGTGCCAGTACCATACTGTCTTGATTACTGTAGCTTTGTAGTATAGTCTGAAGTCAGGGAGCCTGATTCCTCCAGCTCCGTTTTTCATTCTCAAGATTGCTTTGGCTATTCGGGGTCTTTTGTGTTTCCATACAAATTGTGAAATTTTTTGTTCTAGTTCTGTGAAAAATGTCAGTGGTAGTTTGATAGGGATTGCATTGAATCTATAGATTGCTTTGGGTAGTAGAGTCATTTTCACAATGTTGATTCTTCCAATCCAAGAACATGGTATATCTCTCCATCTATTTGTATAATCTTTAATTTCTTTCATCAGTGTCTTATAATTTTCTGCATACAGGTCTTTTGTCTCCTTAGGTAGGTTTATTCCTAGATATTTTATTCTTTTTGTTGCAATGGTAAGTGAGAGTGTTTTCTTGATTTCACTTTCAGATTTTTCATCATTAGTGTATAGGAATGCCAGAGATTTCTGTGCATTAATTTTGTATCCTGCTACTTTACCAAATTCATTGATTAGCTCTAGTAGTTTTCTGGTAGCATCTTTAGGATTCTCTATGTATAGTATCATGTCATCTGCAAACAGTGACAGCCTTACTTCTTCTTTTCCAATTTGGATTCCTTTTATTTCCTTTTCTTCTCTGATTGCTGTGGCTAAAACTTCCAAAATTATGTTGAATAAGAGTGGGCAACCTTGTCTTGTTCCTGATGTTAGTGGAAATGCTTTCAGTTTTTCACCATTGAGGATGATGTTGGCTGTGGGCTTGTCATATATGGCCTTTATTATGTTGAGGAAAGTTCCCTCTATGCCTACTTTCTGAAGAGTTTTTATCGTAAATGGGTGTTGCATTTTGTCAAAAGCTTTCTCTGCATCTATTGGGATGATCATATGGTTTTTCTCCTTCAATTTGTTAATATGGTTTATCACATTAATAGATTTACATATATTGAAGAATCCTTGCATTCCTGGAACAAACCCCACTTGATCATGGTGTATGACCCTTTTAATGTGCTGTTGGATTCTGTTTGCTAGTATTTTGTTGAGGATTTTTGCATCTATGTTCATCAGTGATATTGGCCTGTAGTTTTCTTTCTTTGTGACATCCTTGTCTGGTTTTGGTATCAAGGTGATGGTGGCCTTGTAGAAGGAATTTGGGAGTGTTCCTCCCTCTGCTATGTTTTGGAAGATTTTGAGAAGGATAGGTGTTAGCTCTTCTCTAAATGTTTGATAGAATTCGCCTGTGAAGCCATCTGGTCCTGGGCTTTTGTTTGTTGGAAGATTTTTAATCACAGTTTCAATTTCAGTGCTTGTGATTGGTCTGTTCATATTTTCTATTTCTTCCTGATTCAGTCTTTGCAGTTTGTGCATTTCTAAGAATTTGTCCATTTCTTCTAGGTTGTCCACTTTATTGGCATAGAGTTGCTTGTAGTAATCTCTCATGATCTTTTGTATTTCTGCAGTGTCAGTTGTTACTTCTCCTTTTTCATTTCTAATTCTATTGTGGGTTACTTTTTATCCTTTTACTTTGCCACTTCTTTTGGGAGTTGAAGTAGTTGAGGACGTACTATGTGGTCCTCAATTGTGCTATCTAGTTTAGATAATTTAATCATATTTGAGGACCCAAAAATGGAATAGCAATAAAAACAGAGAACTGAGAAAGATTAAAAAGCCTGAACAAGTATAAAGGAGGGTTACACAGGGTACCACATCAGTGTTGCAATACCTTAAACAAAAATGGAAAATGTTATTTTGTAGGACCAGCTTACATGTTGATGTCACACATGTGATGTGAGATTGCTTTTCTGGCCTCATCTCTGACACATAACCTAATGCAATAAAGCAAATAATCAGTGTCTTTTTTCCTGAAATAGGAGTACGTGATGCTGTTTTTCAGGAATTGGCCAAGGAAACGCTGTAGTGAGATTCTTCTGGAGGAAGATGGACTTTTGTACATTTCCCTTGACTACACACATGCAGTTATTTTTATAGGAAGCAGTGCAGCTCAGCGGCTAACAGCTTAGTTTCTAGACTCTTGGATTTGAATCATGCCTCTTACAAGACATATTTTATATGGGGAAAAATGTTTGGGTCCCAGATTCTCCATCAGCAAAAATGTTAGTGATTGGTAGTACTTACCTCAAGAAATGGTTATGGGATTAAATGAAATATTGTATGCAGTATTCTAGGATAGCTTCAGAAATGTCTTTAACTGTTGTTTATCATGGGACTTGTGGATAGAATTTATAATCCAATCTTAATATGTTTGTGGAATGTATTAGAATTCTTTATGTGAGCATAATCACATTCATTTTTGTAATCTTAAAAAGCTGATTTTCATATAACATATGGTTATTGCCTACTGTTTATTAACGTTTTCTTTTTTACTCACTTGTGCCAATTGTTCATATTAAAGCCAAGTCTTATATATTCAGATAATGTCTTTAATTCCATCTTAAATGTCTTTTGACCATTTCTTTAAAATCCCAGTGAAAATAGGTCTATATAATGTCTATAATAGACAATCAATAAACACTGATCGGTCTTAAACACTAAGGAAAGATTGGATTTGAAGGACTGTTGAAACTAATTTGTTCATGTTCACTTTGACCCCATAACTTAAGCATCTGAGGATTAAATGTATTATTTGGCTTAATTTAAAAACCAACAAGATTTTTTTAGACAGCCATCATTCTGGTTTAACCAAATTCCCTACTGAAAACAAATTCTCCAGTTTCAATCCCTTCCGGAAATCTGAAGAAAATTCCACAAGCCCAAGATTGCCTTGCATTATTCTTTATGGTTTGTCTTTTTTGTAACCTAAGGGAAAGTTCAAGGTGGAGGGAAGGAATGGGTATCTATGTATAATCTAAAACAAAAATAAAAGCAGAGTCCTTTTCTATTGTGACAACAATGTCAAAAGGGGGCTCAAACTAGGCAATATTAATATGTTACTGTCTATGTGGTGTGGAGAAAAGACTTCAGTTGCAGACCAAACTGTAAGTCATTAATGAGAAACCTGGGAACCTCTGAGATGTGGATTTGAAGCCCTGGGTGTGTTTGCAACTTGTTGGTCAGGCGATTTCAAATCTAAAGAGTTATTGTATTTGGATGGCTGGGTAGATTCTTAGAATTAAGGTGCTTGAGAGTTGAAAGCCACATTAAGAGATCATTTAGTCTAAAGTGAAGTTTTTATGAGACTCTGTCCTTCAGTCAGTCACACAACTCATTGGCATACCAACACAAAACCCTGCGTCTCCCTCTGTACTTTGCATTGCCCTAGTCTATCTGGGGCTAGCCTATTTAACAACAAAGATGGCAACCAAAGACTTGCTTTCCAGATAAGGCAAATATTGTTTTAGAATTGAGAAACTAGTTACTCAAAAAAGACTGAATTTTCCACTAAGCCATCATTTGAAAGCATTGACAAAATGCCATCCAATGAGTAAATGGGTCGATGTGAATTTTGGGAGCACTAATTACTGAAATTTGGAGTGAAGAGGGCACAACAACTAGTGCTCATAGAAAATAAAACCACCTCCTTTATTAAAACATAAAATGTGGACCTTTGAAATGACGTTTATGTATAGTAAATAGTAAAAATGCCTCTTCTGCATTCTAGTATTTAATTATTTTGTTATATTTCTTTTAAAGCTCATTTCAAGTTATATGCTGTATAAATTTTCCTTACCATCTACTTCTCGCAAAGTATCCCTGCTGGACATCTGTATGATGACAGAGAAAGTAAAAAGTTTGGCTCTGTGCAATCTATACAAAGCTAGGACTCAGTAAATAATTAGCAATTGATCATTATTTGAGAATATTCAGGATGAAGGGACTGTGGTAGAAGAAAGAGAGGTAGGGCTGTATAATAGTACATGGAAGTGGTTTTCATTCAGAAGACCAAAGTGATGACATGTTATCAGAAGATAATGGGCATTTCTGATCAAATCCTGGTGAAGTAACCAGCTCAGGTTAGAATCCAGACCTGGCACCTTACTATTTATGTTTTATAAAAAGATTAACTAGCAGGTAGGACCCTTTTGCTCCTTAGATAGTAAGTATAAGGCACTGAACAGTGCTTGGTACATGACAGGTACTCAATTAAAGGTAACTAGCCTCATCATCATTATTAATCTCCAAAGCGAATTCTTGCTCATCATGCATATAGAAATTTAGTGGCAGAGCTATGAATAGACTCCACATCTCATCTTGTTTCTCTTACCTTGTTAGGTGTCAGTGACATATTAAGATTAGATGTAGGATTCATGTTTGTTCCCCTATCTGCTGCCCAGCCTACATTCTCTATTGTAAAAATATAGGTCACTAATGGCACATAACTTACTGGGGAGAGCTACTAATTTTTATATGACAGGGAATGATGTAATAGATGAGAATGTTATGGGAAATTTATGATATATTTGACAGCCTTTAGGTTGTTTTCACAATATTAGTTCCTTGGATTCCAAGGAGTATTGTTTGTAATCTTAATCAGGAGAAGGCATACATGTGAAATATCTTGCACTCAACAAGAACAGTTAAAGTTCACTGGGGAAAATCACAGGAAATATATTGTCAACAATACTTGACGGTTTACAGAAAGATGCAAACAAGACACTCCAGCAGGCTTATGAAGAAATAAAATCAGTCCCTATAAAACCAGATTTTAATGCCTCAGGGAATCACTGGCTTTCTAGCAGTGTATTACTACTGCCCAAAATGATACCATTTATAATTTCATTCCTTTTGATTAACAGTTGCCCCTAAATGAGAAGACTTATTTAAAAATAGATATAAATCATTAGTTTACAGGGTATGAATTTATTTATTGGGTTTTCCTAACATGTCAAGAAGCTAAACAGGGCTGTGTTTGAAGAGAATGTCAGTATCTGGGCATTTAGAAAAAGAAGATACTGAAAAGATAAGGAGTCTCATAATATAAATATCAACTTTGTCACAGTTCTGAGGAGGGTAAGCCTTCTAGGATCCATCATTAAAAAGAAAGAATATAATCACCGTGCAGTACCATGCAGATAAACTTCCTGCAATGTTGTTTCCAGGAAGCAGCTGGACACTTGAACAACCATCAAGTTTTACATAAATATACAATCATGTGCCTTAGATCACAAAATTTCAAAAATGTATAATTGTTAACCTGTAGTTTACCTGTTTTTCTGTTGATGAGGCAAAGAGATTTTGCTGTCTTCACACTTGTTCTGCATATTCCCAAAGAGTTTTATCTGAATAAAAACTGAAAGAAACCTAGACTCTAAAATATTGTCTTTCTTTGGTAGTTACATAATATTGAACTTTAGAGTTCTTCCTACACTATGTAAAACCAAGATACATTTTAAAAATTATTAGAAATAAGTGGTCAGGCCAATTGAAATACCACCATCAAATGATATAATATGACTTATGACATTTAGCTTATTCTTACTTATTGTTGAATTTAGTTTCTTTTAGGTATATCTTTGGAATTCCTCCCCTGATCCTTGTTCTGTTGCCAGTAGCATCATCTGATTGTGATATTGAAGGTAAAGACGGCGGAGCCTATCAGAATGTTCTAATGGTCAACATCAATGATTTGGTATGTGTTTGTTTTCCTCACGTTTTAACTCACTGGGAAAATTTGAAATATACTGTTGGTATGCAGTTTTATGTTCTAATATTTATTTATATTCCTTGAAATAGGCTGCTAACAATATTTCTTTTTAAGTTGGCATTATTATATCCTGTAAAAAGAATTCTTTCCTAGACCTCAGACTCCCACAGCTGTCCTTCACTACCAAAATTTTTCTGAACATAACTTAGCATAATTATCTGCATTTCCTCACCTCCCATTGATGGTCCCTGTAAAAACATATTATATTAGGAGAAGGAAAATACCGGAATATAATGTTTAAAAATTATCGTGAAAAAGTTGTATAGTTATTTTATTTTATCTGAAAGTGTGTACATGAATATCCTTAGGTATTTTTATACATATGTGTATATATATAAAATTTGCTGTTATTTTTTTACTTACTATGGACTTTTAAAATAATAGCTATTATTCTTTAGAGTAGTTTTTGGTTTACAGAAAAGTTGAGGAGAAAGTAGAGAATTCCCATATACCCACTTTCCCTCTACACAATTTCCCCTGTTATTAACATCTGGCATTTGTGTGCTACATTAGTTACAATTGACGAACCAATATTGATACATTGTTATTAACTACATTCCCTAGTTGACATTAGGGTTTACTTTTTGTGCTGCACAGTTCTATGGGTTTTGACAAATGCATCAGGTTGTGGATCCACCATTACAGTATAATACAGAATAGTTTCACTGCCCTTAAAACTTACCTGTGCTCCACTGATTCCTCCCTCCCTCCCTGCCTCTGAACCCATGGCAACCACTGATCTGTTATGGTCTCTGTGGTTAGCCTTTCTACAATGTCATATAGTTGGAGTCATGCAGTATGTAGCTTTTTTAGACTGGATTCTTTCACTTAGCAACGTGTATTTAAGGTTCTTCCATGACTTTTTGTGGCTCGATGGCTCATTCCTTTTTTATTTTTAAATAAAATTCCATTGAATGGATGTACTACAGTTTGTTTATCCATTCACTGATTAAAGGATATGTCTTGGTGGCTCCTAATTTTTGGCAGTCACGAATAAAGCTTCTATAAACATTCATGTGCAGGGTTTTGTGTGGACATACATTTTCAACTCATTTGGATAAATTCCTAGGAGAATGATTGCTGGATCATATGGTAAGACTATGTTTAGCTTTGTATTAAACTGCCATACTGTCTTCCAAAGTGTACCATTTTGCATTCTCACCAGCAATGAATGAGAACTCCTGACATTTGGTGTTGTCAGTGTTTTAAGTTCTAGCCATTCTAATAGGTGTGCCTTGGTACCTAATTGTAGTCTTAATTAGCAATTCCCTAACGTCATATGATGTTGAACATCTTTTCATATACTATTGCCATCTATATATCTTCTTTGGTGAGGTATCTGAACTCACATCTTATCTATCTTAACAATATTGAATCTTACTATCCATGATCATGGAAATCTTTCTATTTATTTAATTTTTTAATTTCTTTCATCAGAATTTTGCACTTTTCCTTGTGTTGATCTTGTTAGTATTTTGTTAGAGTTATATCTAAGTATTTTGTATTTTTGGTACTTTTGTAAATGGTGTTCTGTTTTGAATTTCAAATTCCAATTATTTATTGCAGGTATATAGGACAGCAACTGACTTTTGTATATTAACCTTGTATCCTGAAACCTTTCTATAATTGCTTTTTAGTTCCAGGAGGTGTTGTTGTTGTTGTTATTGGTTCTTTGGGGTTTTCAACATAGACAAATAAGTCATCTACCAAAATTAATTTTTTTACAGTTTAAGAGCTGTATTAAAATAATGGGATGTGTTGTTTTAACAGTGACCAGTACTTGAAACCCCAAATGACAAAGGAAAACCATCTCAGATGTTCATAAGATGGGAGGAAATTGTCTAACCTTTCCCCTCCTTCCACTCTACTGTCTTTTCCGCATACTCATAGAGAAGTGGCATGACACCTTGGGAAATTCAGTGTTATACCTCTTGGAGGGATATGGGAAACTCAAGATGATATGTATTGAACACTGTATCACAGAGAAATGCTGATTTTTGTCCACTGACAAAAAAAAAAGTGCTCACTACATGGTAATTGCCCCATTTTATATTTCATTAATTGGGGCATTTTTTGCATTAAATTATGCTACTAAATTAATCATTTTGAGTTAAGATAATGTTTTTTACTTGTTACTTACTCTTATTACCTTCATTTCACAGAGGAAAAATCTGAGACCCAGGGCCACCCAGTTAAGTGGCAGAGCCAGGATCTGAGCCTCTGCTATTAACCAGCACACTCTCCTGCCTTCCAATAACAATCTCTCTGCCAGTTTATTCATTCAGCAAACATTTATGTGGAGCCTATTATGTGCCAGTTATTATGGAAACCCTTTTTTTGTGGTGGGGTGGTGGAGCTGTGGCAGTAGACACAAAGGTGGACCAGATACAGACCCTTCTTTTAAGAAGCTTTCGTTTGGTGATGGTTAAGTCTTGGTGTGAAGAATGCAAGTTGCAGCTTGAAAAGGAGTGGCTGTCATACTCTCATTTCAGACAGACTGGTTGTGAGTCAGATTTGGAAACAAAGAGATATAAACTGTGTTCTAGGAGGAGTTGAATAGATCAGCTTGATCCTAGGAGAGAAACCATATTGTGGGATAGTGTGTTGATCTCCAGACTTTTTAGACGGTACACCCTTTAGTAAAACTATCTTGAGCCTGCACTTCCAATATACATTAGCATTTATTTATATGTCATAGCATTTTCATAGTAATTTTGCACACATTAGTAATGATAAATACCAAATAATGAAAATTTACAAAAGATGAGGAAAAAATGTAGATAGAGTTCCTAAAAATTTTCCTCCCATACTTGCAGTGGATTGTTCATTGTGGACTCCACTTTGAAAAGACTGCTGACATAGTGGAAGACACAAGTGGATATATGTTATAACAAGATTGTCAGTGGTCTTGATGTGATGGTATTTAGACAACCAAAAGTCAATAGTGATTTGATCATAAAAGTAACATTGAATTACAATGCAAATTTTGAGCATTTACTATGTGCAATGTGAGCCATTAAAAATAAGATAGTCCTTGCTCTTCTATAATTTATGAGGATAAGGTATACACATGTCACTATAATACAAAATGATAATAGCAGTGCATTAAAAAACAGTTTCATACACATTATTTTATTTGGGCTCCATAATATCTCTATGAGGTGATAATAATAATAACAACTAACACAAATTCAGGGTTTACTATGTGCCAGAACTGCTCTGACTACTTTCCATGTAATAATTATATAATTCTTACGATAATTCCAGGTAATGAGAAAACTGACCTGGACCACATAGCTGGCAAGTGGCAAGGCTGGAATTCAAACCCAAGCAATCTGTTTCCAGAAAAAGCCTTCATTATTATGAGACAAAGCAGATAATAGCCCTGGTTTTTTTGTTTGTTTGTTTGTTTGTTTTGTTTTTTGAGGGAAAACACAAGATAGTTATGAGGAGAACATAATGAAAGAAGAGTATCAGGGACACTAGATGGTGACTGAACCAGTTGAATTGTAGAGAAAGGTGACAGGGAGCTGCACAGATATTCTGAATACTGTTAAAATCATCCAGAGCAGGTCAATAAGGTAGAATTGAGTTGTAGAAGTAAGAAAATAGGAATGATGGGAACTATTACATAGAGTCCAAATAGGGCCCAGGGTAAGAGTGAGACTCATTTTTCCACCTAGCTCAGAGGGAATGGGAGGTTCATAATAAATAACAAAGGTCCTTTTTCTATATGGTCTACTAAATAAGGAATTCAGATTCCTAGAACTGGGATGACTAAGTTCAATAGAATCAGCACTTTAAGCTTCTTAATACATATTACCAAATTATTTTCCAGAAAGGACCCTTCAGTTTACAGTTCTTACAACAGTACATGAGATCATCATTTTTGTCAGCATTTTTATTTTTGATAATATCTGCCAGGGTAGTGGAAAAATAACCTTCTGTTTTGATTTACATTTCTTTGACTGCTAGTGACATTGACTGTTTTTTTTTTCTCCAACATGTATCCATCGTTTATGTTTTCTGTGTTTATTTTGCATTGAGATAAAATTCAATGTACTCTCTAAAGTGTACAATTTAGTGGCTTTTAGTGTATTCACAAGCTGTGCAATCATCATCATTATCTACTTCCAGAACATTTGCATCACCTCAAAGAGTGATAAAACCATTTGCTCTAGCTTTCCATTCCTCATTAGCAGACACTGGTAGCTACTAATTTACTTTCTGTTTCTACGGATCTGCTTTTTCTAGGTGATTCATACAAATGGAATCATACCATACACAGCCTTTTGTACTGGACTTCTTTCACTGAGCGTAATGTTTTCAAGATTCACCCATATTATAGCATGAATCAGTACCTCATTTCTTCTTATAGATCAATAATCTGTTGAATGTATATACCACATTTCTGTTTATCCATTCATCTGTTGAATGGATAAGTTGTTTCCACTCTTTAGTTATTACAAGTAATGTTTCTTCAAATGATAGTTGTACAAGTTTTTGTGGAATATTCTTTGATATACACCTACAAGTGGAATTGCTGGGTCATAGGGTAACTCTATTTTTAACTTTTGAGGAAATGTCAAACTATTTCCAAAGTGACTGTACCATTTTACACTCACACCATCAGTGTATGAGGAGGGTTCCAATTCCCCCGTATCCTCACCGAAACTTGTTGTCTGACTTTTTTACTCTAGTCATCCTAGTGGGTGTGAAGTGGTATCTCACTTTTCCTTTGATTTACATTTCCCTGATGACTGATGATGTCAAGCATCTTTTCAATATTGACCATTCTTACTGGCCATTTGTGTATCTTCTTTGAAGATTTTTTTTTTTTTTCAAATACGTTGCTCACTTTTAAATTGGGTCATCTTTTTATTGTTTGGTAGTGAGAGCTTTTTATGTATTCTGGATACTAGACC